GATAATTTGTTGCTTTATTGGTAATGTTAAATTGAGTCACCAGGCCAAGGTAATGACAACTGATTTCTCCATAATAGCTTTTTCCTTTTGTAATTAATTAATAATCTATAATGTGATTCTTTGAGACTTGTGAATATACTGTTCCCCCAATAGCCTTTCACCCAGTGATTTTAGCTGGCATCCATCAATGACCCTTCCCCAGTAAGTTAGTAACACAGCGATGGTTTCAAAACTCTTTAATACTTTCATTTCTTCTACATTTAGTAGTTTGGGATTCTTCTGTTAAGAACTTTCTGTTTACTCCTCCCCCCAGTTTGTTTGTTTGTTTGTTTGTTTGTTTGTTTTAGCCAGTCTGTACTGATGGTTGGTTCTTCCTTTAGCAATGTCTAAACAGCTGTTTAATTGGCTCATTGAGTTTTTTAATTTGTAATTTTTAAATTTGTATTTAATTGTTTTATTTGCTTCTCTTTCAATCCTGCCTGATTTCTTTTAGAGTATCTTTTATTTTTGTTTTCATTTTCTCTTCCTATTTCAGTCACTGTAAACATTTTTTAAAGCCTCTGTCCAATAGTTTAGTTATCTAAAGTTCATGAAGATGAAATACATTTTTTGTCTTGTTGGCGCATACTTTGAGGCTTGTTTCCTTGTGATTTATCCATTTTTTTTGTTTGTTACTGGTAGGTTCATCTTCAGTGTAGTTTCATCTGTGCTTTTTCTATCCAGGGCAGGCTGGATGGAAGCCTCGTGCCTCCTAGAAGTATTGTATATCCCTTTGCCAGGTCCGTTAGGAGTAGCATTGACTTTGAACTAACTTAAGTGAAGTCTAGGCTTAAAAGTTTAGTCAGTCTCCCAACAACGTAACACACAGGGACTTCTTATCTCCTGGTGCCAGTGGTCAGATTATTTTCTCATCCACTGAGAATGTGGTGCTATGCCAGGTGCAAGGGATGGAGGTGTGAGAAAGGCCTCAGTCCAACCCTCTGCCTCTTCTGGGCCTCCGTCTTAGTTTCCGGGCCCCACTTGGCCACTGAAATCCAAGCTGATTTCAAAGCCTCCAAAATTCTCCAGAGCAGCCACAGTATCAGCTTACACACAGGCCATTCTGAATTTTAATGCCCTCTTCATTTGAGGCCACTGGCTGTTCCTCTTAACTTTACGAAAGCTCCATTATCCATTGAAACAAGGTGTTTTATTTTAACAAACATTTCTAGATAGAGTGGGGACATTCCACATTACCAAGTTTGTTATGTTGCCAGAATTCAAAATCTCTGCCTGGGGATGCTTAGGTTTTCAGTGTTCTCCAGCTGCACCGTTTGTGCTGTTTTGTTGTGGGTGGTGGTCATTACAGAGAGGCCCCTGTTTGTCACTGCTTGCTGTGTGTATGTTGCTTGTCCTTTGGCCAATGCACAACAGGTAGTAAAACTTCTCATTTCTGTCATCTTTTATCTAAAGTCTGTATAAAACTTTTGTCATGTAAAGCCAGTCTTTACTGGAATTTTCCTCAAGTTCAAGTTTTATCTCAGAAAGCTTATTATTTTTGAATAATCAAAATGATTAAGCAAAAAAGAGTAGCGTTGCGTTCTTTTACCTTCCTTTTTATTTCCTGTTTATTAAGTCATTTGTGTTGGTTTAAAACTCACTTTCTTGATGGTAATTCATTCCTGTAAGTCAGTTTTGCCAGAAGTCCTACTTGAAAATTTAACTTTACACCGTATGGTATTTCTTTATTGTACATAATTATTTATTTTTATGCCAGCATGGATCATTATAGTATTCACCTAAGCGACTAACACAAGCCTGGCTGGCCTTCAAGGTTTTGATGCCATGAACTGAAACGGCACATATCTCTCTCGTGATTTCTCATCCTTTGTGCCTGTAAATAAATAATATAAGAAAAGCAGTTTTATTATTTTATAGTCACTCCCCTTAGATATTGTGTTAAGGTTTTTAAGTATATTTTATTGATTATGCTATTACACTTATTCCATTTTTTTCTCCCTTTAATTCCCTTCCACCCTGCATCTTCCCTCCCACCAGCATCCCCCCATCTTAGTTCATGTCCATGGGTCATACATATAAGTTCTTTGGCTTCTCCATTTCTATACTATTCTTAACCTACCCCTGCCTATTTTCTACTTACCATTTATGCTTCTTATTCCCTGTACCTTTTCCCACATTCTCCCTTCCCCCTCCCCACTGATAACCCTCCATGTGATCTCCATTTTTGTGATTCTTTTGCTTTTCTAGTTATTTGCTTAGTTTTTGTTTTAGGTTCAGTTGTTAATAATTGTGAGTTTGTTGTCATTTTACTGTTCATATTTTTTATCATCTTTTGCATAGATAAGTCCCTTTAACATTTCATATAATAATGGCTTGGTGATGATGAACTCCTTGAATTTGATCTTATCTGAGAAGCACTTTATCTGCCCTTCCATTCTAAATGATAGTTTTGCTGGATAGAGCAATCTTGGATGTAGGTCCTTGCCTTTCATGACTTGGAATACTTCTTTCCAGCCCCTTCCTGCGTGCGAGATTTCTTTTGAGAAATCAGCTGATAGTCTGATGGCAACTCCTTTGTATGTAACTGTCTCCTTTCCTCAGGCCACTTTTAAGATTCTCTCATTTTCTTCAATCTTGGGTGATGTAATTATGATGTGCCTTGGTGTGTGCTTCCTTGGGTCCAACTTCTTTGGGGCTCTCTGAGCTTCCTGGACTTCCTGGAAGTCTATTTCCTTTGCCAGGTTGGGGAAGTTCTCCTTCATTATGTTTTCAAGTAAGTTTTCAATTTCTTGTTCTTTCTCTTCTACCCCTATGATTTGGATGTTGAAATATTGAAAGTTGTCCCATGAGTTCTTAATCCTCTCATTTTTTTTAAAATTCTTATTTCTTCATTCAGTTCTGGTTGAATGTTTATTTTTTCCTTCTGCTCTGAACTGTTGATTTGAGTCCCGGTTTCCTTACCGTCACTGTTGGTTCCCTGTATATTTTTCTTTATTTCACTTTTCACAGCCTCACCTTTTTCCTCTACTTTGCAACCATACTCAACCATTTCTGTGAGCATCCTGATTACCAGTGGTTTCAACTCTGCATCTAATAGGTTGGCTATCTCTTCATCACCTAGTTCTATTTTTAGAGTTTTGATCTGTTCTTTCACTTGGGCCATATTTTTTGTCTTGGCATGCCTGTTATGTAGTAAGGGGCGGAGCCTTAGGTATAAACCAGGGCAGGGCAACTCACAACACTGCTGTGGTGCTGTCTGTGGGGTAGGGGTCCAAGAAGGAACAGTACCACTTGCTTGGCTCTCAGCTGGCTTTCAGTCACTCCCCCCCCATTACCCACAAGCACATTGGGCCTTTCTGGTGCTAATTCCCTGGTGAGTGACTTTGTGTACATTCTGCGTCCTTGTGGGTCTCTCCAGTGAACTATCCTATAAAGCTGGGAGTTTCTCCTGCCATTGGAAACCCCACAGATTTTTACAGTCAGAGGTTTTGAGGCTTTTTTCCCCCCTGCCCTGGAACCCTGGGCACTCCAGGGTGTTGGTCCTCCCGGTTTATCTGCATGCAAATGTGGGACCTCCTGGTCCACCAAATGCCACCTTGCCCCACTTACCAGCCGCCGCCTTTCTGGGAGTCCTCTCCACCCAGCTGCCCATCTCTGCCCCTCCTACCAGTCTGAATGAACGTTTCTTTATCTCCTTGGTTGTGGGACTTCCATACAGTTCTATTTTCTGGCAGTTCTGGTTATTTTATGTTTTTAAAGTTGTTGTTGTCCTTGTTTTGGTTGTGTGAGGAGGCAAAGTATATCTACCTATGCTTCCACCTTGGCCAGAAGTCTCTGCTAAGATTTTTTTAAAAACTTATTTCTGTTTCTGTGTATGAAGTATCTGTTGGTATTTTTTGTTCCTATAATACTTTAATCAGTTGGTTTTTTTAGTCTAACTCTAAAAAAAATAAGCCCTTCATAAATATCAAGTCTTTGAACATGTGCTGTTTATTCTAATACTGTGCTAAGCTAAGGGAAAAAAATACTTAGCATTTAGAAAAAAAGAGATAAACTCTGACTTTAAATATCCACATATTTTGCCGTGAATAATGTGCTCCCTTGTATGTGTGCCCACATTTTTGGACCAAACTTTCAGGGGAAAAAAATCTTTCATTTTAATTTTTTAATTCAATGTCTTTACTAATTTATATTTAGAAACAAAACCTATTAGCATATTCCAGGGCATTATTTTGCATATGGATATTGTTAATGCTTTCTAGAGTTCTGCTTTTAGCACATAAGCATAAATAAAAGAATTTAAAACATTTCCATAGATACGGAATTAGTACCACCCATATAATGTGCATTATTTTTCCCTCAAAAATTTGGGCAAAAAAATGTGCATTATACATTGCAAAATGTGGTAATTGCTCTTTAATTATAGGATTAAGTCCCTAAATGTAACTATTTACATTTCCTAAAAGTAAATTCAGAAGAGCGATTAGCAAAGAGTCTCCTACTAAAACACAGGACTTAACGCAGGACATGAACAGAATGCAACACAGTGCAGGGCAGAGTGGGTTTAGTTGCCCACCTGAAGAGTAGCTTGTTACTGGGATGCTGTAGTTACCTCATTCAGAAAGAACTTCTAGAAAGTCAAGCAGTGAACTTCCTTGGCCTGTTTATTTCCTGAAGAAATTTGGGTTTTCTTGCTTGTTTGTCACTCATTGAATCATTTGAAAGTCTTAGAGAATGAAAAAAGCTTAATTTTATAATAAAAATAAACACTTTCAACCCCTAATGGGTCTTAAATTAATACCATCAGAAATGTCCTTGTTAACTTTTAGCCTGGGTAGTCTGTGTTCTCTAAAGAGAAGATAGTGCTGGGGAGGGAAAAGAGAGAGAAGGCGCTATCTCCCTTGGTCACCATTGCCTCTGCACCGATACCTGTGTTCACGTACTAGCTCTGGGCGTCAGAATTGCTCAGCACACTGATGCTCTTTAATGAATCTTTGTAGGGAGCCCAGATTCTGCCTCGCCTTCCACCAGTCCTACTTTCTGGAACTACAGTCGTTCTATGGGGGATTATGCACAAACTCTAAAGAAGTTTCAGTATCAGCTGGCCTGTAGGTCTCAAGCCCCATGCGCAAACAAAGATGAAGCCGATCTCAGTTCTAAACAAGCTGCAGAGGAGGTAAATGGGAAATAAAAATGACTTAATGCTTATGATTTACAGATTATTAGAAAGTCTTTTTTACTTCTGGTATGCTTTCTTTTTCTGGAACCTCCACTTCTGTTGACCAGGAACATAACTCTGGCACACATTAAACAATGGAAAGGCTCCTATCTAACTTTGTACCTAAAACTAAATTATATTGTATGTTTTACTGTCCCTGACACATAGTTGGTATTAGTGTCCCGCCTAAAACATTTTTTCGCATTCATTTATAAAGTGCTACCTTAAGTAACAATTCGTACTTAACATATATAAGACTCTTGCATTTAAAATATATTTAGGCCCTGGCCAAGCAGCTCAGTTGGTTAGAGCATCATCCTGTACCCCAAAGATGTGGCAGGTTCAGTCCCTGGTCAGGCACATGTGGGAGGCAGGAGATCAGTGTTTCTCTCCCACGTCGATGTTGCTCTCTCTCCCTCCCTCCCTCCCTCACTCTCTCTATAAAGACATCCTTGGGTGAGGATTATTTATATATATATGGTAGATATGAACATTTGACAGTCTGGGATTTAATCAGTTTAATACCAAATATAGGATTTTTATTTTCATCTTCAAAGCAAGAAAAATGTTCATTAAACATACCAACTTAAGGAATTTTAAAGATGTCTACACGAGTAGCAGTAAGTGCGTAATAAGAAAATTAATTGAATATTAGATTATTATTGATGTTTGTGGATTTTTTTTCAAAGTATTCCGTATACTTTTGAGGTTGGAGGAAGAATGACTGATTTCTGGCAAGATTTTTTCTTCACTAATTGTTCATTTTAAATGTTTTTAATAGGTTTGGGCAAGAGTGACTATGAATAGACAACTTCTTGATCATATGGATTCATGGACAGCTAAGTTCAGAAATGTAAGTTTGACATTACACTTTGGACAGTATTCATGCCTCTTAATAACGAAGTATGTTATTAGAATACTGATTAGAGATGCTAATTGTTAACCAGACAACAGAATTACTAGATGGGCAATGTGGATGGCCATGACATTTACTTTACGATGTCTATTAGTAAGGGATCTCTCCCTCCCATTTAGTAAATTGGGTCTTTTGAGTAGATAAAGGAACATTGTGACCTTCTTCCCTTTTCCAGTCTCTCAATTTTATTTTTCAAAGAACTCTTCTGTCAGAGTCTATTGTGTATCTAGAAAAGTAAGGGAAACAAAAATGAGGTCTTTGCCCTCAGAAAAATTCAGTTAGAGAAGATAACATATGCATGAAGCTATGTCAAACTGTGTCAACTTCTTCCATTTCTCTAAAGAAGAACTCTCTCTGTCTTTAGCCTGGAGGTTGAGGGTTGGGAAGGCCACTTCTTCCACGCACAGAGTGAGTGAGTCCCCTCGTTTCAGCCCCGCTTCTTTTCCTCGCCCTCTGCGGAGCCTGTGCGGCCCAGGTTCTGCCGGGCACGTGGACCCTCCTCCACTGCAGGCGTCTGCTCTCAGATTCTGTAGAGGCCACGGCTTCTTCCACCATTTCATCCTGCATTCGTTCATCAGTTCTGCACCTTCTAGAAATATGTTGAAATCACTATTCCTTTTTCATTTCTCTTATTATAATTTAATAGAGTATTAAGAAGGAGTGGTAAAAATAGCAGCCTACTTTCTTGAATGAGAAGCCCGGATGGCTTTTAAAAATAAAAGCTTTTGCCCTGGCCAAATGACTCTGCTGATTGGAGTGTTGACCCATACACCAAAAGGGTGCAGGTTCGATCCCCAGTTGGGGTTCGAAACACCAACAGGTTACAGATTCGGTCCCCGGTCAGGGCACATATGGAGACAACCGATTAATGTTTCTCTCTCTTTCGTCTCTCTAAAACCAATGGGTGTGTCCTTGGGTGAGAATTTTTAAAAAGTGTGTTACTAATTGCAAACCAGTATAAACACTACATGAATAATTGTGTGAATAATTACCCTAGCAGTATAAACTGAAGTTTATTCTTTTAGCTTAAGTGTAATCACAGAAAGAATCATTTATGAAAATCTTAACATATGACTGAAAGTTTTACATTTCCTTCAAAAACAAACAGGCGTATGCGATTTAAGAATATACTCTAATAGCATGTTTACTGAACTCTCGCTGACTTCAGGTAGGTCCTGCTACTGTCCTGTCACGCTTTGTCAGTGTGTAAGTACACGAGCGCCAAAAAATCTTAGTCTTATGAATAATTATTTGAGAAACGCTGTGGAATTATGTATGCAAAATCTTTACCTCCGTTTCTCCTAGTGGATCAATGAGACAATATTAGTGCCACTCGTACAAGAGACCGAGTCTGTCAGCACGCAGATGAGACGCATGGGCTGTCCAGAGCTGCAGATAGGAGGTACGTGGAAGCGGCCCAGAGTTCGCTGCACCTTCGTGGGTCTGCCAAGTGGGAGGTTTCTGTAGTGGGTTGTTCAACAACCCCTTCGTTATCTTGAGGTGAAGAAAAAAACTGAATGTCTGTAATGTAGTTTTTTTACAACACAGTTTTATTGAAATATAATTTACCTACCATACATTTTACCCATGAAAAGTAGCCTACCACTCTAGGGTTGGAGTGTACAACCATTACCGTAATCACGCTCAGGCTGTTTCATCATTTCAGAAAGAAACCCCGTGTCCTTTAGTGGTCGCCCTGGGGCTCCACCGCCACCCACTCACTCCCCAGCCCCCGGCAACCACCAGCCTGCTTTCTGCCTCTCTAGACAGGCCGCCCCTGGATGTTCCATGTAAACAGGACCATGCGGTGTGTCGTCCTTGTGACTGGCTTCTTTCACTTAATGTAATCGTGTCTTCAAGTTTCATCCACATTGCACGTGTCAGCGCAGCATGATGCGCTTTTCAAGAAAAGAACGACACTGCTTCATAACTGCAGAAGCAGCGTGCTGTGTTCACGTAGATTTGGAAAGTGCAGAGATGCTCAGAGGCTGCAGCCCACAATTCTGCTTCCAGAGACGACGACTATCAGTTTAGTCACAACCAGTTAATATTCTTAAAGAAAAATACTGGGATACTAACTATATGTATTTCAGTTGTAAGTTATCCCATAGTTTAAAAACATGAACAGTACATATTTAGGATTTGAAGAATTATTGTACATATATACGTATATATTTCTAATTGAATTGGAGTCATGCTGTTTTGAGGAAATAATGGTCCGTGTGTGTGTATGTGTGTATTTTATAATCTTTAGAGGGTAAGGGAAGGAGAAAGGGAGAGAAATACCAATATATGGTTGCCTCTCACGGAAGTGCCTTCTGGGAACTGGCCTACAACCCAGGCCTGTGCCCTGACTGGGAATCGAACCGCAATTGTTTAGCTCGCAGGCCCATGCTCAATCCACTGAGCTACACCAGCCAGGGCTATGTGTATATATTTCTAATTAAATTGAAGTTATACTGTTTTGTTACTGTTTTTCCCTCCCCTCTTTCTATTTTGTTAAGTATTCTCTAATATTGCTTTCGTGGCTGGACTCTCTTTCTTTGATTTTTCTGTGTCTTTTGTATATTATTTATAGATCTTCCAAAATGGATCTGGCTGTTGCCTTTGTGGAGAGAGAGAAAGAGGGAGGGGAGGGAGGGAGGGAGGGAGATCTGGCCACCTTGTTCAAAATGATAAAATAAATTGTAAGTAAAGTAGATCATGTAAATTATTAAGATAAACTATTAATGCTTTCATTTTTTCCTTCAACACCTATTGAGAGAAAAACATTTTAAGTTTTTTTAGAGACCCACATGAATAATAAGGTGTTCCGTGCTTTTTATTTTTAACAGAGGCCAGCATTACCAGCTTGAAACAAGCCGCTCTGGTCAAAGCCCCTCTCATCCCCACCCTGAACACAGTCGTGCAGTATCTGGACCTTACTCCGAATCAGGAGTACTTCTTCGAAAGGATCAAAGGTAACTGTTGCTTCGAAGAGGGACAAAATGAGAACTTTTTCACTACTTTGAGATTTTATAACTGTAACAGGGAAAAAATACTCAGCCCTGACCAGATAGCTCTGTTGGTCAGAGTGTCGTCCAGATACACCAGGGTTGCAGGTTCAATTCCGGGTCAGGAAACATGCAAATATCAACCTGTAAATGCATAAGTAAGTGGAACAGCAAATCAGTGTTTCTCTCTCCTCTCTCTGTCTCCCCTGTCGTTCCTTCTTCCCTTCCTCTCTTTCTCTGAAATCAGTAAATTTATTTAATTAAAAGTATTTTATTTTTATAAAATGTAAGTATGATCTTATATTTCATAAAAATGTATTTATGGTTTAATTAAGGCTTATACTTAAACAGCTTTGGGATTTATATTTTATATGCTTAAGAATTGTCAAAATATCATACTTGGTCTTGAATATGTTAGTTAATAATCTTATTCTATATAGAGAAACTTAAAAATAAGCTAAATGGGCTCAAGTGAATATTTTGCTCATTTTCTATTTCTTTGTTTCCTCTACTTTTTAAAATATTTTTTATTGTTGTTCAGTTTTACAGTATCCCCATTCCCTCCATCCCCCCCACCCCCATACCTCTCCCCAGCCCCATGATTTTCTATTCTTAAACTGCCAAGAATGGGCACCACTCGGTCATTCTTTTTAATTTTAGCAAGTTGATTCTTATTTCTTTCCATTTTTGTGTCATATTTATTATGTTCCTTTTCTCATATTTCTGTTATCTTCCGATCCCTTCGGGGAGGGGGACCGTGGTCCAAGGAGGCTGACTGGGGGGCAGGAGGCTGGCCTCCCCGCATTCCCATGCTGTCTCGTTCGCCTCTCTGTTTTCATGTGGATAAACTCTGTAAAACGTTCTCATCACTAAAACAGGTTTTAGAAATAGTATTTCACTCTCCCGATTCATTATAAATCTGAATTTGAAAGTATTGTGGTACCGCTTTCTTTCCCCTAGGTTTGATTAATGTTCAGGAATAGGCATTTATCATGACCTCAAAAACCTCTGTATATAAGGAGAATGCAAATGTACATGAAATTAGACACAGCAGTGTGTTCAACCCTCTTTACAGCACCCAGTCCCAGTGACCATCGTCCGCCCCATCCTCCTCTCTCTTCCTGTGTTATCTAAGCAAACCCTATGTACCCTTATCACTTTATACCTAAATATCTCTATACATATCTCTGAAACATAAGACCTTTAAAAACATAGCCATACTGTTACACCTATTATTTTTTAACAGTTTCTTTATATCATGAAATTAACAGTCTATGTAGAGATTTCCAAATATCTCCTAAAATGTATAATTACTTTTTTTCATATTGTTTGCTTGAATTAGGATCGAAATATTATCACATGTGGTGACTGGTTACTCTATTTAGGTTTCTTTTAAGCTATAGGTTTCCCATCATCATTTTTTTTCTTTACAACTTATTTGTTGAAAGAACTGCATCATTTGTTCTGTAGTGTTTCTCCTGGTATGGATTTTGCTGAGTGCATCCCCGTGATGTAGTTTTACCTGATTTTCTGTTCTTACGTGTCCTGAAAATTCAGGTTACAATTTTTTGGCAAGATTGCCTCATAGGTAGCAGGACATTTATAATTCCAAAAAAAGTATGTATGTGTGTGCACATATATACAAATTATACATAAAGTTTTAACATATATTAAATACACAAAAAAAGTCTAAAAAGTACAAGGAACCCTGATTGAGTAGTTGTCAACATTTTTCATATCTGATTCTCTCCCCCACTTTCTGTCCACTGCTCCCCCCTTATACAGGGTCCAGCAGAACTGACGCCATGGAGTGTGGTGGGCGGGGGATGTGAATGTCCTGTACGAAATGGACAGTAATTTGCCCCTTTCACCCAAAATGTCACATGGTGTGCTTGAGTGAGGTATTGTTATGTTACAGAATAACATGCTTGTGGTTTTGTAATAAAAGTTTCTGTGATAAAACAGGGGCATTATTTGTGCCGGACCCTGTCTGTACACACACACACTTTTTTTCTCATTTGAAAGCGTATTGTAAACATCATTACTTTCGGCTCATCAATTCCTAAAAAACAGAAAAATAAATAAAATTCTTTTGTGTTACCACAATTCGATGATCAGATCTTAAAAATTAAAAATATTTCTATAATATTATCTAATATACAGTGCATATTTAAATGTTGTAATTGTCCAAAGAATGTTACACACCCTTTTTTTTTCCCTAACTAGGGTAGAGTGCAGGTTCACTCATTATATGTATTGGGGTTTGTTCTTTGTTCTTCGTCTCTTTGTCTAGAACAGTTCTGCCACCTTTTCTCATGACATTGACTTTTTTAAGAATCCAGAACATTAGTCTGATCTCACATTTTGGATTTATATGATTCTTCTGGTTATGTTTAAGTTAATCTTTTACATCTTATATTTCTCTATGTTATGGGTCTTTTGATCAGGTTCTTCAAATGATACGCTTCATTTATTATGACCCCTTGGTCTTTTTTTTCTTCATTTTGCATAGTCTTAGTTTTTTTATCTCACCTTCGTTGCTACAGAACTTTCTCAGGGAGGCTGTATGAGCTCATTTCGATGGAATAGAGGTGGAGACTTCAAAGGACGCAAGTGGGATACGGACCTGCCCACTGATTCCGCGGTAAGTCTGCAGTTTTGTTTTCAGCTTTGTTAGTTGGATTTATGTGTTTTTATTCCCCCATTATCAAAATAAGAATTAAAAAGGATTTTGAAACTAAGGTAGAAGTAAAAAATTAAAACTGACCCTGGCTGCTCTATCTCAGTTGGTTAGAGCATCATCCCATGGACCAACAGGTCACTGGTCTAATTCCTGGTCAGAGCACACATACTTAGGTTGCTAGTTCGATCTCTGGTCAGGCGCATACAGGAGGCAGCTGACTGATGTTCTCACATGGATGTTTCTCTCTGTCTCTCTCTCTCTTTCTGTCTCTTTCTCTTCCTCTCTCTCTAAAATCAATAAATGTATCCTTGGAAGAGGATTAAGAAAAATTCATTTTAATTAAAATTGTGCCAATATCTTAACCCAACAAGTATTACTTCTTTGGTTTATTTTTTTTCATTTGCTTAGATTGTTCCATTTTTTAATCTTTTTTAATCACAGTTGTAATCATTGTATATGTAAAATGTATATATTTTTCTTTCCATTTTTGTAATGTTTAAGTAGTTTTTTCAGTATTATACACTGTCATTTAACTATTCTCCTATATCAGACCTAAAAGTTTGAGAAATATGGTGGGGAAGGGAGTTTTGTTTTTTCTGTCTCAGATAACATTGCAGGGAGGGTCAGGGTCTACATTCCTTTGTTAGGGATCACTCCTCTGAAAAAGAGCCCAGGATTAGACTTATAAGATCAAAAACTATAAAGTTTGGGTGCATTTAAGAGTTTTTCAAAACCATATTTTAAATTTTTTTATAGTGACTTATGTGTGAAAATGAAGTTTTAAATGCTGATACTCAGATTCAGAACTGAATAGATGTGTATTTTATCTTGATTTTGCTGTTTATTAACTATATGGGTGTGAATGATTCACTTAACCAAAAACTAGGAATATCGTTTATCTTTCATTTTACAGATTTCATTTTATAACCATTTAAAAGCATTTTTGCTAATATGGAAAAGTTTTCAAATTGGAGTCACAAATGCAGATGTTTTTAAAGGTCTGTATCCATGATAGATTTTCATGCTGACTTTGAAAAATTGTCTCCTCGGTTTTAGATCATCATGCACGTGTTTTGTACCTACCTTGACTCCAGATTACCTCCGCATCCTAAATACCCTGACGGGAAAACTTTTACATCTCAGCACTTCGTTCAGACACCAAATAAACCAGGTATAAGGATCTCCTGAAGGAATGCAGTGAGCCTTTCACGTGAAATACAGCTAGTGGTTTTGTCTGTTTTTTCACGCAGCATATTTCCTTTGCAGATGTGACAAATGAGAATGTTTTTTGCATTTATCAGAGTGCCATCAACCCTCCCCATTATGAGCTAATCTACCAGCGTCATGTCTACAATCTTCCAAAGGTACGTCTAAGTGTGGAAGCTGCTGTAATGGAATGTCTCAGATGACTTCTTTGATGATATTTTTAAAATAAGAACCTCTTGTTTATGGAATAAGTAAACTTTCTAAATCGGGGAAAATGTGTTCCTTGCATATCCCCTTTTTTAACTATAAAAATATTATGTGCTTAATTTGGAAAAGGCTTTTAAAATATATATCACCTACTTTATAGAAAAGGTTATTGTACCAGTTTACGCTTCTACCCAGGTATTTTACTCGTGGTTGCAAACATCAGTACCTTTGATGACCTTTGCAGTTATTTGTTATGAGCATCTTTACTAAGAAATTTTACCTTGACTGTAATCATAAAATATGTTCTCCATCAGATTCCCAAGAACGAATATTAATTTTATTTTTTTCAGGTTTAGTATTTCAATTTTGTACGTAAATATTTTGAGCCATTGAAGTTTCTTTGAATACCCGTGCAAACTCTTTTTTAAGAAACACTGTCTTTTAAAAATTATATATATCCTCAGATTCTTGAGTAAAATCACTGAATCAGAGTAAGTGGGAACAAGTTAAACAGTGAATTGAAAATCTAAGTTATGAGCTAGTGTACAGATCAGAAATTACGTATCCTCGTTTGATTTTAGGGCTTGCAAAATGATGCCTTGTAGTCACTTATAAATTTGTGTTTAACATGTTACTTATACTGTTATTAGGATATAATCAAAGTGTGATTAAGTTTGTCAATCCCCACACTTTCATTTTGCTGTTAATTTTTGGGATAGAGCACTTTCTGTGCGCAGTGCACAGGGCACCAGCCTCACAGTAGCTCTCTGCCGGGCCTTCGTAACTGCTGCTCCCGGTGTGTAGAAACTTCCCGGTCAATTCACTTTCTGCTCATCTCTCAGGTTTCCCTTGAGGAGGCATTCTTGCCTCGTCCGTCTGGGTCAGAGGCCTGCGTATGTTCCCATGGCGCCCTCCCCCAGCCCTCATCACTCATCATACTTTCCCTAATTCTGAGTCTACTGTCTGCGTTTCTGCTAGACTTGAAGCTCCTTAACTACATGGATCCTTTCTGCCTTATTCACTGCAATATTGCCACTTCCTAGCACAAAGTAGGCATTTTGTTTAATGAATGAATGAGAATCTGAATTACTTGGAATTCTGAGTTTGTAGAAGGTGAACTGATAGGATCTGCATTTACCTATCAGACTGAATCTTTTACTCATTTTGGTTTAAATCTTGCCTTTCTGTCTTTGTTCCAGGGCCGAAATAATATGTTTCATACATTATTGATGTTCCTCTATATCATAAAGACCAAAGAGTCAGGAATGCTTGGGTAGGTATTTATGCTTTAAAAACACAAGTACTTTATTTATTGATTTGCTTGCTTCCTTTACTGAGATCGTGTAGGAGTTTCAGGTGGTTGACTCTGGGAAGGGTGCTTGAGGGAAACAGGGAACTGCTTATTTCTGTCGTGAACTTTTTTTTTTTTTTACTGGATTGGATCTGTTTTCTTTTTTAAATTTATTTATTTTAATTATTTAAGTTGTCATAAACTTTTAATGTTTATGAAGCAGATTGATCTGAAAACATTTTCAATTTAATGCCGCATATTTTTGCCGTTACTGGAATGAGCTGAATTCCAGCTCATTAAAAAAAAGTATATATTTTCATTCCAAACATATACTTTCCATTCTTCATTCCAAAAAACATATACTTATGTTTTTCGTTTTTGCTTTTGGTATTGTGATATATTTTAAGAAAAATATTTCTTTAAAATGCAAATATTCATGCTAAATTAACATAGAAATAAATTTATAAATGAGGAACTTAACACAAACTCTACTCTTACTATCCTTGCAGTTATCGTCTTTTTTAAATAATTAAAATATCTTAATACACTAAGCTATTGTACAAAAAAGACATCTTATTTTGAGTTTTCATTAATATTTGCAGAATATACTAAAGTATATGATTTTTAAAAATCATGAGTATGCATTTTGATAAAAAAATTAAAACTGTATATTACAAAAAGCCCTTCACAAATGGTAATTTCTCTCGATCATGTTTTCTTTTCCTTCATGCCCTCACCAACACTGCAAATGATAAATCTCAATTTGATAGGGAAATGTTTTAATTTGGGCTTGTTCATATATGAGGCTAAGCATCTTTCATATTTATTGATCATTTATATGACACCATTCTGTGAAAAAGTCTTGTGTGTGTGTATTTTTTAAGATTTTATTTATTTGTTTTTGGACAGAGGGAAAGGGAAGGAGAAAGAGAGGGAGAGAAACACTGAATGCTTGCCTCTTGCATGGCCCCAGTTGGGGGCCTGGCCTGCAACCCAGGCGTGTGCCCTGACCGGAATCGAACCCTCAACCTTTTGGTTTGCAGGCCTGTACTCAGTGCACTGAGCCGCACCAGCCAGGGCTTTTTTCTGTTTTTGACCATTTTCTATATTTTTCTTTTCTAAGTAACTTACATACTCTCTTTAAATGTGATGAATATTAACGTGGATTTGCTATCTTGGGCAAGTCCATTAATTCTTCATAACGTCTATTTCCCTGTTGGGGAAAAGGCAGTTGGACCACATCATTGATTGGCCTTAACAGTTGTGTCCCCCAAGGGGACAGTTCTGAGGTCTGTGTCAGGGTCTTGCCACTTTAAAACGAAGCCAAACTGGAGCCCAGTTTTATTCAAGCCTTGCCATTTCAAACACACAGTGCTCTACAGAGTTTATTCTTCCAGAGAGGCGGAGTCAGCTGCCATTCAATGATATTGTTCACTGGGCTAGAAAAATTGAAATTGTCTACTTTGTTCATTCTAAATACTTAGTAATAAAGCTTACATACTGTTATAATAAATTCAAAATTGCTCTCTTGTTATTTTGGTGATTCTAAGCTTTAGTGTGTCAGATAATAATTGAACTAAGTGGACCCCAGCTAAAGCTGGGGAAACCTAGTACTACAAGGTCTGGGAGTGTGCAGTCCCAGGTTCTGGGTCCAGCTCTGCCCTCACTAAGTAACCTGAGGCTAAGAAAATGTAAAGGGAGGTACCTGCAGTAAAAAAAAAGCTGGGGTCCATTGCAGTTCTGATACGCATGCCTCTTTACAGTTTTCTGTAGGCATCCTGTCTTATGCATGTTCTAGAACAACATTGTGCAGCCGCCACCAGCCGCAGGTGGCATTGAGCATTTGAAACATGACTGGCCAGATTGAGGTGTGCTGTAAGTGTAAAACACAGAGACTGGAAATCAGAGATCTAGTGCGGAAAAAAAAGTAAAACACCACATGAATAACTTTGTATGATGGTTATATGTTGAAATAATATGTTGGATATATTGGGTGAAATGTATACATAATTAAAATTAATTTCACCTGTTTTTATCTTTCTTTAAACTTTTTTAAGGTGTTTACTAAAAAATGTAAAATCATGTGTGGCTGGCATTTGAGGCACAGGCCACATTGTCTTTCTGCTGGGCAGCGCTGCTCTAGAGAAAGCCTGGCTCCTGCCATCCAGCCTACGAGGTGTGAGGACTTAAAAAGACGTAAACAAATTTATAAACAGATATAAATGTTAATCAGCTTCTTTTATCATGTATTTTAACATAAAGAATAGATACTTATAAAACGAGTCTCACCTTTGCGAGACATCTAAACTACATGGTTCTTTATTTTTTTATTACACAATAAGGCATGCTCAATTTAGAAATGTTTAGACATACACCTGTGTCTAAACTAGATTTTGAAAATTCCCTGCTAATCGGCTCCGTCATTCTTCTCTCTCTCTGGAGATGCCAAGTGTTAACAGTTTCCAGTGTGTATTTCCAGACTGCTTTCTGGGAATAAGTTGATTTTAGCTTTGTTTTGCTTTTCTTTTCTTTTTTTTCTTTTTTTTTAATATATTGGACCCAACCATATTAGTCTGTGACCTGCCCTTTAACATGATGGTATATCTTTGACATTCTTCTATGTCAGTGTAAATACAGATTTTTTTCCCTAAAATTTCCAGCAGTATTTAGTTATCCAGCATATATATACCTGTATATTTGGAAGACGGAATATGCTGTAAATACATTGTTTGTAATTCTTCACTTCTTTGAAGTAAAGAATTAGTTTAGAAATATTTTAAATAATGAAGTTTTAGTTTCTGGTTTTAATTGAAAATTTATTTTTTCCTCTGTAGATCCAAATTGGTATTTTGATGCATAATTCATTTGCCGTGATACAGTAGCACGAAGCATGTATTGAGTGCCATGTACATAAAAATGTAAAAACTTTGTAAAGTACTCAGTGGGACCGTAATTCACTAAGAGGCAAAAAATTAATAGTTTTTGAAATGCTTATGTCTCTAAATGTGCAACTTATAATGAAACTTTTCTGACTAAGACTACTTTTTAATGTATTCTAACATAATCAAATGGTGAAAAACTACTATCCTCTCTCTTAAAGGAAATAGTGAGTGGCTCAAATATAGTCAATTTGGAATCATGCCCATAAATCAGCAAATTGATCTGAAAACATTTTCAGTTTGATGCCGCATATTTGTGCCATTACTGGAATGAGCTGAATGTTTTACTTCCAAACGGGAGAGAAATCTAGACAGAACCAACCACACACTCGTTTAAGTGTTCTGTTCAGTGAAAGGCACCATAAATAAAGTTTAAAGCTAAATGATAAACTGAAACAAAGCATTATAATTGCAACAAATACAGCAGATCTAAGTTAATATTTTACACATATAAAGAGCATATGTAAGTTAATTAGAAAAGAAAAATATAGAACATGATCAAAGACATGAAAGACTTTTTCATAATAAACATGAAAAGATGCTCAGCCTCATATACAAACAAGCCCAAATTAAAACATTTTTCTATCAATGTAATTTATCATTCGCAGTGTCGATGAGGGTACGAAGAAACAGGGAGACGTGGTTGATAGAAATAACCTTTTATGAAGGGCAATTTGTAATGTATATTTAAAATTTTTTTTTAGCAAAATAGGTACATACTTATAATTTTAGTGCTAAATGTTTGTGTGCTAAATCATACAGTGCAGAAAGTTTCTGACAGAAAGAAGCAGTTTTCTGTATCACCCAAGTCCACTTCCACTTGAACTCCTGTAGCTTTTCCTTGTTGTTACTCCTATGGTTCTAGATAATAAAGGTATCAGCTCTCTCTTGGTTCTGCAGTGTTGGACATGGTTGGTTGATTTCTTACGCTGTTAGATGAGTGACTGATCTCTCTGACAGCCCTCCTCTCTTCCCCTCAATACAGTGACAGTACTCTCTGCAGTAGAAGTTGATTATTCTTCTTATTATATGCATATCCCATATTCTTCATACCCCCATGCAAATCCACTAAAGCATCTCTAATAATTAGAAAATTCCTAACTCAAGGCAGATAGGTAAAATTCTGTCTGATATAACAGTTCTTGAGGTCTGCTAAAAAATTAAATTTCATCACTCTATAAGTCTGTTTATTCTAAATTCAGGTTCTGAGCACAGTTAAGAAAGTAGTTACTGTTACTGGAATTCACCTGATAAACCGTATGTGTGCCGTACCTTATTACAGAGTGACATTAAATGTCGTCAATTAAACATACACTTCTTGTTTTAGTTATTGGTGAAAAGCCCTTCAGTGCTTGGCAATCAGTGCCACTGAAACTTTTCTTTTTCTTTGTAGGAGAGTTAATCTTGGTCTGTCCGGTGTGAATATTTTGTGGATTTTTGGCGAATAGTGGATCGTTTCCTTCTGAACATTTGGACTTATATTTGGCTGGATCAGCAGTTGAGTGGAAGCATCTCCAGTCACTGCCCCTTTTGTTCTATGGCACATTGTGTGTACGTGTTACAGACTCTTCAGCTGTACCAGAAATTGCCTGTTTTAAACCTCCCTTGTAAAAGCGTGCCCTGTGCCTTCCGCACCGAGGGACACCACCCTCAAGCTCAGACCACATCTCGGGCTCTTCAGTTGCCTCCAAACCGCAGCTTTTCAGACCGTTGCTGACCCCAAACAGTGCAGTTCCCGCTTAATTCAATAAACATGAGGCCTTCTTTGTTTTAACTTCCAAATAAGAATCATCCACCTCATTCTTCCCCTCAAAAACTGATTTTTCAATTACATTATGTAGTATAAATATTTGAAAGGAAATAAGTCGCTAACATTCTTTTTATGTTTTCATCTCTATCTTCCCCCAATGTTTGGGAAACCAGCACAGGGCCCCTATTTTAAAAATGAGGTCAACTTCCAAGTAATGTGTTAGTTCTTGTGTGTTTTTAAAATATAATTGAAAGAGATTTGACAGGATTGTGTTTAAAAAGTCAGCTCTTGGGTTAAACGTAGCTGACAGTTAACTGTTCGGGTCTTAGATGTGAAGCTGAGGACATCAAGAAGACGACTGGTTTGGTTCCAGTAACTCAAGTCAGATGGGCAGGATTTTCTCAGAGGCCCATCTCTGTAGCCTCCATTTTTAAAAATTGAATTCCATAATATTGTATGTATGATTCTAAGAGTTTTCTTTAAGATCATATGATTTCTTATGTTTAGATTTTTTAGGTGTGTTCTAATCTGGAGAGTGAGCAGTTACCAGTTCATAAGTTTGCTGGACTCCCCATCAGTGTTTTCTTGCGTGTCCGTGCAGGTCCCCCAGGCCAGCCAGCAGTCATGAGTGTTTTCTGGGTTGACACACTTTCTGCTCCGCCGCCCGGGAGCGCCTGAAACTGGTGTGTCCTCAGTAACTGCACGTCGGCGCTGCGTGTGCAAGCCTCTCTGTGGGAGTTTTTTTGTAAATTCTCTTTTTCAAGAAGTCATTTCTGTTTTTTAAAAGTCAGACGTCCACAGGTAAAGACGTTTCTATCTTTCAACAGCTTTTGGTGCATGTTACTATGTTTGCTATGATGTTTTTGGGAGAAAATGTCGATTAAACATGTTAAATATAAGGACATATTAAGAGCTCAGTCTGTTATTTCAGTAGTTATTAAAGGTGTCCTGGAAGAACAGTTACTTTGCTGCTAGACTATTCAGATGCATATTTTTTAAGATTTTATTTTATTTATTTTTAGAGAGAGAGGAAGGGAAGGAGAAAGAGGGAGAGAGACATCAGTGTGTGGTTGTCTCTTGCATGCCTCCCACTAGGAACCTGGCCTGCAACCCAGGCATGTGCCCTGACTGGGAATCAAACCGGCAACCTTTTGGTTCCCAGCCCACGCTCAATCCACTGAGCTACACCAGCCAGGGCCAGATGCATATTCTTTATTAAAAGCAATAAGGAGAAAAATGTATAGGACTTAAGGCAGATTTTAGTCCAGAAACTTAAAACTAGAATCTTTTATTATCAAAAATACAATATACTAGCCCTGGTTGGTGTGGCTCAGTGGGTTGAGCACCAGCCTGCAAGCCAAGGGGTCACCAGTTAGATTCCCAGTCAGGGCACTTGTCTGGGTTGAAAGAACTTACATGTACGACCAATGGACGAACTGAAATGGGGGAATGCTGGTGGGAGTGGGGTACAGGCAGAAGGGAATAAAGGGTAGAAAAAAAATGGGACAACTGTAATAGCATAAGCAATAAAATACACATAAAATTTTAAGAATTACAATGTACTCTAAATGTACATGTAAAAACACTATGCATAAAAAAGAAAAGATACTTTGTCTGCACACTAAGTCTAGTGGGTAGCTTTCCTATATTAACTTATCTTCACAGATGTTTGAGCCAGCCTGTATTTTAATAGAGCCTTCATGAAAAATTCACATTTCAGGAAGACAGTGCACAGAAAATATGGTAAATTTTTTGGTCCTGTATTAAAATGTATCTGCTTTTCTCTAATTAAATGTTATTGATAGGATATTTTTCACAAGTTCATATTGCTTAACTCATTCTCGTGGGCTCAAATCCACTGATCTTGATTATGTTCACTGTATCATTTATTCTCTTTCCTCTGAACACCAGCTTTGACTTCAGCCAAATTTGTTTTAGGGGCATAGTCAGGTGTTTATAATTTAGTTCCTACTGAGACATAAAAATTCTATGTTGCTTGCCTTTCTCAAGGTGATACACACTTTACACTGATGTTTTAATGGTGAGGACATGCAGCATGCGGATGGCATGTTTGAGCTCAGCTTTGCAATATAAACCCTTTAAATGCAGCGTTCCTCAAAGGCCAGTTTTTGCTCCTCTGCTTCACTGTATTATGCTTTTCCTTAGAGACCTCATTCAGTCCACAACTTCATTTATCACTTCTCTGTACTTGACTGTCAAGTTCATCTCCTGGGCTCTTGGTGTTCCATTTCCTGTGACCTGTCAGACATTTCATATACCCGAAGACCCTGTGTCTGGAACGGGATTCACATCTACTGAAACCAGCTCCCTTGTCTAACATCCCTGTTCCATTCATTGTATTAGCAGTTGCCCACGCTCAAAACTCTGGTGTCATCTTTGATTCCTTGAGCTCCCTGGGTCCCCAATCCAATCAGGCAGCAAACCTCATCCATTCTTTCTTAACAGTGTTTCTTGCAGCTGTCCCTTTCCACTGCTGCTGCCACTGCGCTCATTTACACCCTTATCAACCCACACAGGACTACTACAGCAGCCTAATTAATCTCACAGCTTCCTAACTGTTGCCATGCTTCCAGATTTTCCAATTCATCCTGCACATTCTCTGCAAATTCATCTTCCTGAAACACCTGTTTGATCATTTTGTTCCCCTGATGAATTCCTTAGCCTGACATTTAAAGCCCTCCGCAATCTGGCCCCAAGCTAGCCTCATCCACCCAGGCCCTTGGCTGCAGCTGGTGCTGGCTGCTCCTCGCTGGGCTCCCTGCATGCTGCCTCCCGGTCATCCGGATCGCTCCCTGGGGATGCCGCGGCCCTCCACAGCCCAGCCCTGCCTGAGACTTCACTCTAATTAAACCTGCTACTTTTTGGAGCCGGTCCTGACTGCTCCAGCTGGCAGTCACTTCTCCCCTGGGTGATCTGTGCCCTGTTTTTGGCACTCAGCAGTCATATGAATGGGTTCAGAAGTGACTTCTCATAGAACAGTGTGTCCTATATCCTGCCTTATCCTCATAAAATCATTGCAGTTTTTACTATTTGAGCTCTACTGCTATTGAAGAAGACTTGATGAAGACTGAAGGCTGTTTTTTGAGAAAGGCTTGCATTCTCCTCTTTGAAGGATGGACACTTTTTGAGCAGCCAGACACACTGGCATGAAAAGTCAAGGTGCTAGGGACATGCCACAACCAATATCAGGTACCCTCGGGTTCTTCCATAGTGCACTTGGGTGGGGCCATTGCACTTAGCAGCCCATTGTCCCAAATACTGCAGGGTGAGGGATGGGAGAAGCTATTGGTTCACCTACCCCTCTGGGTGGCTTCTATCCCATCTGCTCCTACACTGTGTGTGAGGATAGGCAGCGGAGGGCCGAGCTCTCTGGCAAGAAGGCTCCTGGGTAGGACCTGTGTGGGGACTTGTCCACACACTTAGAGTGAGAGGGGCTTGCACAGTCAGCACCTTGGCCCCAGTGACGTTGCCACATCTTGCACTGGATATGCCGGGGTCTCCTGCCAAGTCTGCAGGATTCTTAGGCGTTAGCTCTGAGTCACATCTCTAATTTGATCCCCGGATGGTGAGCAGTAATTTCATTTCCACGGTGAATGGGCTACACTGATGTGGGGGGCAAGTTATGGATTCTGTGGCAGCGGCACCTCAGTTGGGGTCAGGAAGTGGAGTCCGATAGAGCCCCATGGGCTTTGTGTGCCTCTGGGACCCTGTCCATCTGGGACAGCAGTGACCCCAAAGATACTTTGTAGCAAAGTCACACACAAACATCCCCAGGCACTGCTATGGGTGGAATTTAAAGCTGTAGGTAAATTTTCCCATGCCCCCACAACCAAATGAGTCTGCCAAAGTCTGTCTAACCAGAAGAGCCAGTGGCCTCAATAGGCTGTAACTGGAAGGACTGAGCTTCGTCACTGGTGGGCCGGGGCAGTTAACTTTTTATCCTGTGATTTCTGATTAAGATTAAGTTAACTTTTCATACCAGAGATCATTGAGAACTAAATGTGAGCATATTGGATGGCAGCGCTTTTAGGTAGTGGAAAAAATGGCTTTAAAAAAGTCTTTCAAAATAATGTTAGTGTAAAACTAGGAGATGGCCCCTTTGGCATTGTAAAGCAACTGTCTCGTGGCCTTGACACTCACACCCACCCCAGGCAGCCTAGCCCAGCTGTGGCTGCGGCCTCCTCCCTCTCTGCTCCCCCCAGCCTGGACCTGGCTGTCGCCCAGTCCTAAACAGTACCGCCCTTGTATCCTGGAGGCCAGGCTTTCTGGTCCACCAAGAAAACACATTCTCCTTCCTTTCCCATTTCTAAACGAGAGGGAAAAAATAACAACCCTGAATCAGACTCTGCTTTCATGAACTGCGACCCATAGGAGGAAAGTCAGAAGGTGGTGATCTGCTCTGTTGGGGGCAGAGCTTGTTTTTTCAGGAGCAGCAACCAGGCATGGTTCTTCCTCAGCACGTGGTGTGTAAACTGGAATCGGCCCGCGCTGTGATGGTTTTGGCCCAGGATACAGGCATTAGCTTACTGAGCTCCAACTGCAAAGAAAGGCCCTTGTGTTCCTAATGGGGAGGGGTATCATCCGCTGGACGGCCTGAGGGGCAGAGGAGGAGTCCAGCCAACTCGAGAACGTGAGACTTGGCAGAAAGGAGTCTGAACTGAAGCCACCAGCCCCCAAAGCTGGTGGTTTGAGAAAGTTAACATAAGTATGGCTTCCATCTCAAGTTTGTTAACCATGCTTAAAAATAAAGTCAGTACAATACTTCACTTCCAGTTAAATGTTCTCCTCGAGTTCTTTGATTTCTTTTTAATGCCACCTTGAAAATTCCTGGAGCTAAATATCTTAAAGTGGCGGTTAGACACCACTTAAACCAAGTGCCTTGGACAGAACTTGGAGGCAAAGTCCGCGTCCTGGAATAGTGTCCCTTAAACTAGTCACTAGATATTTCCTATGAAGTAGAGCAACACTATTTCCTTTAAGCTACTGTATCACTCCGAGTCGGTTGATGCTTTTCCCCCCCTCACAACTCTGTCTCCACGCACACCGCCTCCCCACAGACCCACCCTCAGTAGTTTCTATTAAAGAGGGATTCGCAACTATTGCTGGCTCGTCCTCTGACCCAATCCTGGCAGCTGCGGTAGTGGGGCGACGCCAGAACAGATGCCTAGGGAGAACTGCAGCCCTCAGATGGGACACCTGTGAGCAGTGGCCGTTTCTATTAACACTGCAGCTCCCTCGAGGTCCTTGAGGGCAGGTGTGTATTAGGTGCTCACTAAATATTTGTCGAATTAATCATTGGGTTAAGTAGACAGGATCCACTTGAAAAGGACCAGAATTTTCAGTGAGTGTGCTTTCCATGCTGAAGACCGTGGAGAGCTCTCTGGCTGGTGGGTGAGTGTGGCAAAGAAGAGAAGCAAGGAGTTGGCAGTTGGCAGTGGGATCTAAATTCACAGAAGGGCAGGCCAGGGGTCCACTCTGCATTTCCATGCCTCCCTCTTTGCTGGGCTCCATGAAATCATTCAGGAGTGGGGAGTATGTATGTGCAGGGGTGAGGGAGCAGGGGAGCCATCTAGATACGTACCTGCCAGTAGTTTCTCAGTCGGATGTAAAACTGGCGGCACCACAGCCCTCCCAGCTGTAGCTGTATTGAGGCAGATGCAAGGGCCGAGGGCTGGGAGCGCTGTGAGCACTGTGATCTGGTCACAGGACACCATTACCCTGTTCTCCTAAACACAGGTGTTTTCTCCACGTGTGCATCTACCTGGACTAGAGGGTGTATTTCCTGAGCTGCTTCTCTGGATCTGCTTTCTCTGATGAGGAAATCTAGAGAGTCCACAGCCACAGTCTGTGCCTCCTGGCCAGGGCGGTCTCCAACGCATAC